TAGCTGAAGGGGATGAATCAAAGACTATCTGCATAACTAGGTATGGTTGTTTTGAATTTTCGGTTATGCCCTTCGATCTTATAAATGCGCCTATTACTTTTTGCAATTTGATAAATGATGTATTGTACGAGTTTTTGGATAATTTTGTGGTGGTATACTTGAATGATATTTTGATATATAGTAGATCAATATGTGATCATGTTGTCCACTTAAGAAATGTGTTCTTACGGCTTAGAGAACATCAATTATATGTCAAGAAAGAGAAATGCAAATTTTGCCATTCAGAGGTGATGTTTTTAGGACATTGGGTTGGTCAAGGAAAAATTAGAATGGATAGAAAGAAAGTAAAGGCTATCATGGAGTGGTCAAGTCCATCCAAGGTTTCCGAATTACGTTATTTCCATGAGTTAGCAAACTACTATCAGCATTTCATTGAAAACTATTCCAAGAAAGTGAATGCCTCGACAGATTTACTAAAAAAGGATCGGAAATGGAATGAACTGACGTGTGCCAAAGAGCTTTTGAGAAGTTAAAATAAGCTGTTTCAGCTGAACCGGTGTTGCAGTTGCCTGACTTTGAAAAGCCGTTTGAAATGCACACTGATGCATCTGACCGTGCTATTAGAAGTGTATTGGTGCAAGAAGGTCATCTGATTGTTTATGAAAGTCGAAAATTTAAAGAGGCGGAACAACGATATTCAACTTATGAGAAAGAGATGACGGCGGTTGTTCATTATCTTGAAACTTGGCGCCATTATTTGTTAGGAACGAAATTCACTGTTCTAACGGATAATGTAGCCAACACATATTTTCGGTCCCAAAAGAAGTTCTTGGCAAAACAAGCGAGATGACAGGAGTTTTTGGCTGAATTTGATTTTGTGTGAGTTCATAAGCCAGGCAAGCAGAATCAAGTTGCTGATGCACACAGTCAAAAATCCGTAAAAGCTTATGTATCGGCTTTGATAACAGTTGAATGTGATTTTCTTGACAGAATCACACAGTGGGCTGAAAAGGATGTTGCTTATACCAAGTTGTTGCAGGAAATTAAAGATGGCTTGGTAAGATTGTATTGGATTGAATACGGTTTGATCTATGCCAAAAGCAGCAGATTATATGTTCCTTCAAGTGGGAGATTAAGGCAAATACTGTTGAAGGAAACTTATGATCCTCAACGGACAGGCTATTCGAGCATAAAAAAGGATGTTAGCTTTTCTTTCGAAATCGTATTACAGGCCAAAGATGGGTGACGAGGTAGAGGCATATGTGAAATCTTATTTGGTGTGCCAGTAGGATAAAACAGCAAAAAGAAAATAGACAGGTTTGCTCCAGCTTTTGCTGTTCCAGAGCGACTTTGGCAGTCGATTTCTATGGATTTCATTTCAGGTTTTACCGAAGGTTGATGTGTTTAAGTCGATTATGGTGATGGAGGACATGTTTTCAAATATTTGATTTTTATTCTAGCTCCGCATGAGTGTATATTAGACGTTGCTACTGGATTATTTTTCAAGAATGTTGTGAAGTACTTTGGACTACTCGAGGATATAATGAGTGATCGAGATTCTCAGTTTACAGGCAAATTTTGGACCATGCTGTTTAACATGATGGGGTTTGAATTGAAGTTTTCAACAACAAATCATCCGCAGACTGGTGGTGAGACAGAAAGGATAAATGCATTGCTAGAAAAATATCGTTACAGCTAGTCAAAAAAATTTGGTTGATTTGCTTGATACAACTCAGTTTGCTACAATATACATTAATCCTCTGCTACAGGCATGTGTCCAGCTGAGTTAACTATGCGGCATATGTTCAAGACGCCTCTTGAGAATGTAAAACAAGGGGGACGCATTGTGTGTCCAGTTCCTTTTCAATTTGTTTAAGATAAATAGGAGATGATTGAGCAAGATAAAGACAGCCTTGCGAAGGTTGCTTGACGAATGAAGACATACGCTGATTAGAATAGGAGAGATGTGGAGTTTTAGGTTGTGGATATGGTGATGTTGAAATTAACTCCCCAAATTTGGAAAAAGATTAGTAATAAGACCGTACGTCGTGGGCTGGTTTAGAAATATGACGGTCCTTTCGAAGTAATCAAATGTGTTGGAAGGTAGCATATTAACTGAAGCTACCTGATCATTTAAAGGTTCAACCCACTTTCCACGTAAATTATTTGAAGCCCTTTAATGAAAGTTTGGTGGGAGAAGATCGATTGCAAGCGAAGATGGCTCCTCTTATGATTAGAAAACAGTATGATAAGGAGGTGGCAAAAATTATGGGTCATCGAACATTGAGAATGAGTAAGAAAAACAGAAGAACATACTATCTTGTCTTGTGGAAGGGTAGTAGCGAGATTGATGCAACTTATGAAAGAGATGTCGATCTGTAGCAGTTTGAGGCTAAGATGAAGGAGTATCTTGATTCTCTTTCTACGAGGACGTCGGACTCTTCTGGCGGGAAAGTTTTGTTAGCTTCTTAAAGGTTGACATGCTCAATGGCATGGGTACGCCTTGCATTCATGCTGGAATTTTGTGGAAAAGTGTGTTGATGGTGCACACTTCAAATTTCATAGCAAGGAAAATGTGGGTTTCAATTTGTGGGAGTGATGCTTCAATTTGGCCTATGTCAAAGTATTGCCGATTGGCAAAAATTAGCAAGGCATAAGCGGATTCAGCTTGCTGTTAGTGTGTTCTAGTCCACAAATTCGGGTTTCCAAATCAAGCACATGTTTGACACATGTGTTGAGTAGTTTCCGTGGTCCATACAGGTGGAAAGTATGGACGATTGTTGGGAAATGTTGTGAGAGGCAGTTTCCTTGCAGTTTTAGACCTAGTGGCAATTAATGGTGTTAACTGCACACGAATTTTGGCTTTATATATTTTGAAGGTTTGGGCTGATAAGACAAAGAAAGTTGTAGTGTTATTTCATGTATTCCTTCGTGTTCTTGTATTATTGTGGAGTAATAGACAAGTTGAGTGTTTATCCGTAAATTCTGTGTTCATTTACATTGCTGCATTTATCTTTTTTTTTTGTACAAATTCGTGGGCTGATTGAGTGGAATCTCAATGCCATCATAAGTGAAAATTTGACTAAGTATTTTACCAAGAATTTGTCCCTGTGATATAGGAATAGATGTGAGGTCGGTAAACAAGGGGTTCATGAGGTTTATGTTCACCCTCCCAATTAGTAGAAGTCACAATCACAGAGCTGGTTTTGTTGACAGGACTCCACTTATTGTATGATTATTGTCTTAACATTGGATTTTTGTGCTCGATGTCCTGTAATTTGTGTATCTCAGATTTTTTATTCTATGCACTTCACTTCAGCTTTGATTAATAAAAATGTTTATTCCTTTTTGTCAGGATTGGTTGTTTATTGGATAAAATTCATTAGGATACCTTTGGAATAAGGTACTAGACAAATATTGAACAAAATAACCAGCCAACATTCTCTAATCTAATCACATCAACTAAGGTGGGTTCATTGCAATTATGATGATTAAAGTTTTGAGTAATTAAGTAAATAATCATTTAAGTTCGTGTTTATGTTAATGTTCACTCAAGTTTCTAGCTGTTATATTAGTAGTTACTCAATCAAAAATAGTAAAGTTAAGTTCTATGTGGCGTCATTAACCCTCGTTTGACCTCAATCATTTGAGATTATAATTTTTAGAATAGTGTTTTTTCTAAAAATGTGTTGTTAAAAAAGAAGAAAATTTTTTTTGTTTACGTGTAATATTATTTTATTGCAGAATATGTGATTAATAAGAAGAGAGAGAAAAATAAATTATAATTTTATTAGAAACCAAACCTCTAAGAGGTCAAAATGGATTGGACTTGAGTAGGTTGAAATAACGAGTAACTAAATAGTGTTATTTATTGTTTTAGTCGGCAAAAGTTGTCGCTAAATTAGTATAATTTACCATACGATTTAAGAACAGATTTTGACAAAATTAAAATTGCATCACATCTTTTCGTTGCAACATGTTTACGTCTCAAATTTTAACTCTCCTATTCTGTTAACTTACATAATAAATAATATTGTGTAGTGATACATTGACAAATAATAAAATCATATCAGATTTAATGTTATTGTTTGTTACTGAGTGACTGTAACTCTCACTCTCCAATTCTGCTAATAAATAATATCATGTAGTGATACTTAATAAAGTCATATAAGATTTAATGTTATAGTTTGTTACCGAGTGCCATTAGTGTATCAGTTAGAAATTTGAATGACTATTACTGAAGGAAAATAATTTTAATGACCATTGATATAATTGTTCAAAACTGTGAAAAAAGTTCGGTATGACGAACATATATATTTACGCATATTCACACAAATGGCGACGCGTGTTTTTGTGTCCTATTTAATGCTTCTACATTTTGTCAAACAATGCATCTCGAAACATATGCTTGACTTCAAAATTATGCACTATTGATTTTTGAAAATAATTCATTTTCTTCTAACTTCGTAAAATTCTTAAAGTATCGTTTTTGAAAGAGAATATTTGACATTACGACAAGAATAAAATGAAATGAGGTATGTGAAATTGGAGGGTGGCGGCCAGGGGAGCAATTCTAGTGGAAAATATAATAGTTGGTCACAATGGTGAGGTTAGATAAAAAATTGTAATGTTCATTTCCCATGAAAATTATGATATATATGATAATGATTATTATATCCTAAATGGTCCATTCACTACAACAAAATTCAGCTTTTGCAACGTTTAAAAAACGTTGCTAAAACCTTTTCGCAACGTTTTTGCATGTGTTGCGGGCTTCAGTGTTGCCGTAGACCATAAGGATATGGCAACGTTTATACACCGCTGCAAAAGCTAAATACAAACGTTACCGTTTAGTTTTTGCAACGTTTAAAAAACGTTGCNTGATAATTTCATTACAAATTTTTGAATCCATACACTTGAACATTAAAATCTAATACAACATCACCTAAATAAAAAGGAGTTTTAAAATGAAATAAAATTTTGGACAAACAACGGCAGACTCAGGCAATAACACTTGACGAGCGTCTTTTAACATCAGTTTCTTTTGACATTTCTTCTGCCAATAACTTCTTTATTGGTGTTCCAGTGGCTCGTCTCGAAGAGCTTTGCCCCAGCTCAACCATGAACTGCATCGGCCATTTATAAATTATCATATGTTAAGAGTCACTACATGCAAAAAGAAAGGCATAACAAGTAATTTGTATTTCTATATATAAGTGGCGTTGACCTTAGAGCCATTGTCTACTCTTAGATCTACATCGTGTAAACGTTATTAGTTTAAAAACAATGGATGAATATAACCACTCATTATTCATATATTTACTCATTTCTATTACTCATTTCTATCCATTTATAAATTAATCCGTTTATAAATTCTTCCCAGACAAGATTAACACACATTTGACACCTCGAAGTATAAATAACAATGAAAGGATTTTATGTTCTTTAGTGTCATGTTGATCTATCTTATTTAGAGCTTTACAAATTTGTTACATTTGTCTTTAACGTGCCAACTCATGCATGTTGAATTTAACTACACACTAAAAGCATTACATGAGTAAAATTTCATCATCAGGCGAAGTTGGGACTACTTGAATTCATGATCTTTTGTCAAAAGCTTTAAACTTTCGGAAAGAAATTTGGAACATCAGACTACTTTTATTCACCTGGATTCTTGGAGAAAGTGAGTTCCATGGAGCCATTAGGCAGAAGGCGTGCTGAGAATAATCTGGCCCTCCTTCTTGATTGTAAGAATCTCAAGTATCTATCAATAAGGAAGAGAAAAATCCCAGGGAGAATCATGCAGAAATAGGCAACTCCCACATGCAATATGTAGAAGAATACATAGAGAATGTAGAGATGGTGAGCATAGAAGAAAACTTCAAAAAACTTTCTCCTGCTTCGATCGAACCTTGTTGCCCACATCCCCAATGAAACCACAACAGCTATTACTCCAGCTATGTTGGATAAATAGGTACTGCTCACTTGAAGCATCTGCATCAACAAAAAACTTTCTCCTGATTCGATCAAAACTTGTTGCCCACATCCCCAATGAAACCACAAAAACTATTACTCCAGCTATGTTGGATAAATATGTACTGCTCCATTGAAGCATCTGCATCACAAATTACCAGTTATTAAGTACTTCTAATATTAGTAGAGGGACAGTGAGTTTGTGTGTGAGAGATTGAGGCAATGAAAGTGTGAAGAAATATGAATACACTGATCAAAGCCTGTTTGTTCTAAAAGACAGCCTAGAATTTGACAAATTCTAGAGTCTCGTATTACTAACTAACAACGAACTGATAGAATAAAACTGTAGTTTAACATATCTCAAACATTAGACAAATTTGAGGATCTCGCATATAAAGCCACAGTTAAAGTAAAACAACAAGATGAAGACAATTTTCCAATAAAGTGAAGAAAGTGCCCGTTTGACCCATTATTAAAGTAGGTCCAACCAATAATGATTATTCCCAAAATTGTAATAATTTTATTGCAATACTATATTTTTCTACAAGTGCTAAAGCAAGAAACGGAACAAAGAGAAAATGTAAACTAGAACAAACATGGGATGCCGAAACAGCCCAAACCCCTCCAATCCAGTTGCAACTTTTATTTCAATGAAATATCTGATTCTCTTAAGCAGAATCTGCAAAATAATCAATTTCAAGTTACCCAATACTTTTACACGGATGGGAGAAAATTGAATAGGATCAATTAAGAGAGACAGAGATATCTATATGTTGTCCTGTCCAGTTCAGTATACAAAATATGCCGTAAATGTAAGAAAATTTACCGCATTAGCGGTATGTTTGTCGTTCCAGTAAAAGATCCCTTTATCCTTAAACAATTCTTCGTCCTCTGCTGAATAAAAAATATCAGTAGCATATTTAAGATAATTCAGTTGGAACAAATACAATTTTCAATGCCCCATTACTTCAAGCATATGGATTTCATCTCGCTGTACTCTACAAACTGCAATCAAAGAACAAATTCAGTTGAGCATATCATCAAACACATGGTGTGCAAATACCATAAGAAAACCTCGACAAAAAAGAAATGCCATTTCATTCGGTAATTTCATCAAACACTTCATGCAGATACGAGTAAGCCCCACAAAAAATATTGTACGCACTATTACAAATGAACATAGAGTGATGAGTGTGTTGAAGAAATCAATTACTGACCTTAGGAATGTTGGAATTATCGGGTTCCATTTCAATGGCATGGCGGGGGACGTGGGCAACCATGAGAAAATTCGGAAATTCATCAGAGGTATGGGTCCCCAGTATCAATTTGTGTACAGCGAGAGGACCATTATCAGATGGGGGGCGATGGAAGCCATTGGACGGTGAGAGATGGCCACTCAAGCGCATGGCAGATGACGAGGTCGTACAGTAATGGTGTGTTCTTCTTCCATACGGAAAACTCCTCCTCTACCATTTCTTCGACTCCTTCCTCTGCCATTTTTCTCTTTCTCGATTTCTTAGTCACACAGCGACAGTGTAACGTGCAGAGCCAATCTGCTGGAGATGCTTATGTGGGGATTTAGCGGAAGAAAATGGTGGATTTGAACAAAGAGGGAGAAAAGAGAGGCAGAGACGGGATTAGGGCTAATGTTGATTGGGCTAAATAATGAGCTTCTCTTTTCGCAGCATTTCTCACTTTTAGCAACGTTTAAAAAACGTTGCGAAAAATAACGTATTGCAACGTTTTTTAAACGTTGCAAAAAGTGATTTTTTGCAACATTTTTTCAACGTTGCGAAAAGTCTCACCTTTAACAACGTTTATAAAACGTTGCAAAATGTCACTTTTTGCAACGTTTAAAAAACGTTGCAATAAGTTATTTTTCGCAACGTTTTTTAAATGTTGTTAAAAGTGAGATTTTTCGCAACGTTAAAAAAACGTTGCTAAATGTGAGATTTTTCGCAACGTTTAAAAAACGTTGCGAAAAGTCACTTTTTGCAATATTCATTTAAAAAACGTTGCCATAGACCCCTTTAGCAACATAAATGTCACATTTTACAACGTTAAAAAAACGTTGCTAAAAGTCACTTTTTGCAATATTCATTTAAAAAACGTTGTCATAGTCCCCTTTAGCAACATATACACATCCAAACGTTGCAATAGACCCCCTTTAACAACATTTAATGAATGAATGTTGTCTTTTAAGTGTTGCAAAAGCCCATTTTTCTTGTAGTGATTTTCTGCTGTAAATAATCGAAAATAGAGTTTTGTTTGGTGTATATTCGGCTTGTGAACCACGGATCACATTCCCTTCATAAGAGGGGGGCTTGCGATTTACTTTTTATTTCGCGCGGATCCCCCTCACAATAGGTGTGTGAACCCCGGATGTACAACTAATAAAACTCTTGAAAGTAACACCAAATAGTCCCCAACATTTTCTCAAAAATTGTATAATTCAATCAAATCAAAAGTACTAAAATGACTATTTGACCATCTTTCCATGATCCAAAAATCACGAAATTGATGAATGCTAAAATTTTTGAATTTTTCTTCTTCATATGTTATAGTGGCGGATCCAGAATTTTGAGTGAGTACGGGTGATCGTTGATGGCCACAATAATAAGCAATGTTGTGAACTGAAATTACTTATTTCGTAGTTCGAATTGCAAGCATGTGTGTACGTTATCTGTCAGTTTAATAATGTTTCTTGATTCGATTTGTAAATTCCAGTCTAACAGAAAGTGACTATTTTAATAATCTCATTATAATGTCGAATTTTATTTTTAAAAAAATTAAAAATAAAGAGAGTTTTGTTACTTGATAAAAGAACATACAGAGTTTTGTTACATATATTGTCAGCATCTACCACATGTCACAATGGTTAAGTATTTCATAATTCCAGAGGAGATCACGGTTTCGAATATTCCAATTACTATCGTGGAGAGTTGAACCCAAGACTTCCATTTACTCATACGAACTCTAACCAACTGAATTACAATAACTTCTTGTGAACAAAAGGAAATTACAGATATATATTCAAAACAATAAACATATTGACACAGAAAAATTGAATATCGGCTAATCCAATACGGGCGACCGTCGGAGCTCGCCGAATGCTAGATCCACCATTGTATGTTATAACTTGGACCAGATATTAAACTCTCAATAGTCATTGAAATTTTTAAACTAATCAAATATGTTCATTTGCATAATTTAGCAAAAAAATAAATGACATTTGACTTAAAAAACCCCTAGTCATAATGGTTTCTTGAAATTGCACCTTAGTCCCTTAATTTTGTAAAATTGTAAATTAGTCCTCAGACTTATCAAAATGGAATCCATTCATATAAACCTCTAATATTATATTACAATAATCCTCAAAATAATAACTCCAAATCATATACACGTGTGATATATATAATATGGTTAAGTATTGAAAGTAGACCAATATATAAGGATTTGTCTTACTCTTCTCATAACATTACATTTTAGGAAGGAACTCCGAAGTAGGAAATCATGGCTCATTAAGCTCTAAAGAGCATTCGATCTAATTAAGACAAAAAAATTAGGGCATAATTTTTAAGATTGGAGTGTTCAAATGAGCCACCATCTTCAGGGAGCATGTTAAAGGATAAATTTCACCTCAGTTATTAGAAAATATAGACCGACATATAAGTGTTTGAGTTACTTCTCTTAATAATTCTTACGCTTCACCACCTAGGCTACCACGTGGCTCAGCCAACCACCAAAATCATCTCTATCGAAGCCATGTAGCATCCCACGTAAAGCACATAGGATCTATCAGAGAACACTAAATTTGAAGCACCAAAGCGAATTCATGGAAGGAACATGCTAAAACCCCTTTACCGAAGTGGCAAGGCTCAACGAAGTTGAATTCAAAACTTAATTAAGGTTGGTGACAATCTAAGTTTGAAAATCTTGAATTTATGAATTAGAATGATTGATTTAACTTTTGTAATGAGTAAAAATATCAGTCTTGTCAGCATAGGTTATAGAGTGGTTGCCTCATTTTTGGGAAATTTTATATGCCACAAGTTAGTGAAGTCAAAATTGATACATAGAATGTGATGCTTCAATAAAGGAAATGAGGACACGTGTCACCCATCCAGTGGTTACTATTTCACATGTAACACTATAAATATCCCCCATTTTGTATCATATTGGGGGTAATGCAAAAAATACTAAAATATCACCTACAACCTATTCCTTCTCATGTTTGATCTCTGGGTTTTAATTTCTGATAAGTGATCTTGATTTTTAGTCTAATCTTTTTTCAATCATTCATTGTTGTGAAACTTCGCTTATATATATTGTCGATGCCCGAATGTAACGCCCCGACCCGCATGGATCAGAACATCACTAGATTAACTATACTTTAGACGTTGACTTAATTGAATTAACCTCACCCATAGCGGAAAGCTTACACATTTAATTTATGAAATTTAAATCAACATAATTTGTTAAAAGAAAATAATTCAATACTATAAACAAAACAATTCAAAAATGTCTTTAGAATATCTTCCGTGCATGCATCCACAATTGACGTCAAATTTTAGGCAAAACTTTAAAAATAATGTTGCTGTTTTCTTTTTCTATCTCATATGGGTAGTGACAAAA